CGGAAAATACGTAATAAATGCCGAATACTGAAAATTAGCCGGTGCTTTCTGACCAATTAGAAACGAGAATACATATTAAATGTATAATAATGAAACTTTATTAATAGAACATTTATAGATATATACAATTGTAAATAATACTATATATACATTGATAAACCTCATGACTTAATTAATAAAAACGTAGCTTATCGATGCCCACTTGAATTGAATATAAAACTAATATATATATACAGGTGAAAATCATTTAATTAATTAATTAATTAATTAATTAATTAATTAATTAATTAATTAATTAATTAATTAATTAATTAATTAATTAATTAATTAATTAATTAATTAAGTACTGTTTAAGGTGGCTCCCTACAGTTCTCTAAAATTCTAGTTATTTTGAGTGACGTTCGCTTTGAACCGAATTTATATTAGATACACTTAAGTCAAGGCAACATGATCATTTCCAGGAAAGTCCAGAAGCTGTGTGCTGTCCATTTATGAACAAATTAAAACAGTGTTCGTGTTGCCATGGCAACCATGATGTTTAATCTTTTGCACTTTTATTGTCTAATTTCACAATAAATTGACAATATCTATATTTTCCTTCGGTGAATTTTTCTGAAATTTTTTTTGAAGATTTATGGCCCATAAGGGAAAAACACATCAAAATTTGAAGGGAATTTACAAATAAGTTTTCGAGATTTTCGTGAATGGCGGTTACAGAAAAAGTTATTTGTAGAATTTCTTAAAATTTGGATATGTTGTACCACTCGTCTTGTATAAAAAAAAATACAAAGTTTAAAAAAATTTCACTGAAGAAAACACGACAAATCATCGCTAAAATCGGCGTGGCCAGCATGAAAAAAAATCGACTCGACATGAGCACGATCTGCGCATGCGTGTAAATTGTAGCGTGTGATTTATTGTGATTTCAACTTTTTTGGCTTACAATACATACGAAAACAGATATTTCTGACTTGTTTGACATGAAAATAAAATATCAATCTTGAAAATACTAATAAAAAAACACAATTATACGCATTGTATTAAGTCCACTGTTAGTTTACATTTGTTTTTGTTGTTAAAATCGGTGTGAAAACTTTTCAAAACATCGAACTACAAGTTTAACTTTTCATATAAAACAACTCATAACTGTTTTATTTGATTTAGCAGATAAAACGATACTTGTGAATTGAATTGATTGACAGAACTTACATAAGTTTCGGCGACAGTTCACTACTGTTCAAGAGTTAATAGAAGACAGTATCATTTCAGTTTGACAGTTCGCAACACAACAAGTTGAAAATTTTGAGCAATATGAAAGACAATACTGAACGTAAATACGTAAAAACACACTAAAAGATAGGTTAAACTAGTTAATAACATACGTACTGTTCGAATTCAGAAAAAAATTAGGATTATAATGAAAAACTGGAGCTTTCTTTGTAGATAAAAACGCCAAAAAACTTCCCGCGGCTTGTCTCAATATTTTTGCCGAACAGTAAACACGGCGATTCCACGCGCAGGTCGCGAGGATGAAGTCTGATCTATATAAATCGTATTTAAACAGTACTAACTGTAGGGAGCCACCTTAATAAACGAGCAGGAGTGCTTTATCACATATAAAACACGACACGTAGCGAAGTGTTTTATATGTGATAAAACACGACTACAAGTGCTTTATATGGCTTCAAAAACGACTCATCTTATACGAGTTCATTGGCGAAGTAATTTTTAAAATAAACTTTGTCTAAACCGAGAAAATCAAAGCTAAAGTTTATGTAAATTAACACGAGTTTTTATCACGTAAAAACCACGACACGCTTATGATTTTTCTTTGTGTTTTCAGGAGAGTTATTAATTTTTAATTCAGGAGAATTATTAATTTGAAATTTAGTTAAAAGTTTAAAAGTTCTGGGTTGTTCCAGACTTTGTTTTGTCTACAGAATATATAATACTGCGATTTCCAGTTGAGTATGGAATTGCGAAAGTTTGTTCGTCAAGTTTTGTCGTTTGAAAACAATGTTTGTGACATCATTCTATAATGTTGTTAGGCGAGCTGACAATGTTGTCAAGTAAAATACTGCCAAGTTCACGACTATAAATAGAAACTTATTTTGTTTTGTAATGATTGACAGTTTTTAACGGTTTTTACTTGACAACATTGTGTGCTCGCCTGGTAACATTATACAATGACGTCACAAACATTGTTTTCAAACGACAAAAGTTAACGAACAAACTCTACGAACAAACTTTCGTAATTCCATACTCAACTGGAAATCGCAGTAAGACGTGCGAATACAAGTAGCAATTATTTAATTTATTTTTTACATATTTAATACGTTGTTCATCGTACTTCAGATCATGGAGCATATCAAATAAAGTATTCGTCGATTCACCAAATACACCTAAAGAGCTTATAGATACATTAACAAACTTAACTTCATCATATATATTTTCTAATAATAATAATAATAATAATAATAATAATAATAATAATAATAATAATAATGAAAACTTTATTAATAGAACATTTATAGATATATACAATTGTAAATCTCACTTCTTGAGGTAACCTACAATTGACTACTTGAATCACTTATACGTGGTTATAGTTTTATATACAAAAATTGTTAATTATTTATAGAAATAGTTACTTTAAATGTTCATTAGTTCAGGATTTGTCCATTCTTTATTTCTACAGCAAAATATGTAGTACGTTGATCGGATGGCAATAGATATAATTTTTCTGATACAATATTGTTGGTGTTGATTATCCAGTCCTAACTCATTTAGCATTTTTACGAATGTATGACATTCTTTGTCAAACACCCCTAGCGAACTGACAGAAAGATTTATAAATTTAACAGATGTAATGTTTTGATCCAGTTCTCTAATTAGGTTTTTATATTTAGCTTTCTTGCGGTTAACATTGTTTGTGAGGTTTGATTCAAAGCCTATGGTAAGTTCAACGACGTAGAGGTGTTTTTCTGAAGTGGAGACAAGTAAATCAGGACGATATTCATCTCCCGTAATAATCGAGGGGCTTTCAAATCCAGGAAGATCAACATGTAATTTGCATTCGTTTAAACTTTGAAAAGTTTTTAATAATAATAATAATAATAATAATTATAATAATTATAATAATAATAATAATAATAATAATAATAATAATAATAATGAAAACTTTATTGAATTTTTTATGCACTTACAATTGAAATTCCACTGTTAAAGGTAATTTACAATTGGCTACTTGATACGCTATTTATTACTACATTTACATAACACATGGACATAATTATATGATACAAAAAGTAAGAGACTAACTAGAAGTTCATTAAAATATATAAAAAATTAATAATAATAATAATAATAATAATATTTATTATTATTGTTATTGTTATTATTAATATTATTATTAACGGATATGTTCAAGGAACTGAAGTTCGATGAACAACAAATTAAATACATTAAAAAGAAAATCATTGCTATTTGTATTCGCACATCGTATTATGTATTCTGTCAGCGAAACAAAGACTAGCCCAGAGCTTCTAAAATTTTGAACAATATTAAATTTCCTATTTTTGTAAATTTATATAATCCAAATATTTTTCAAGTAGTCATCGATAAACTACCTTTATGAGCGAGGTTTATCAATGCAAATATAGTTTTATGGTATATTATGAAATAAATAAAGTTTCCATTATTAATGAACACCAACCAAACGGAGTAATTGAATCAGATAATGTAAAGATTCTCTGGGATTTTAACATACAGTGCGATCATGTGATTGAATGTCGAAGACCTGATATTGTAGTGGTTTTAAAGAAGGAAAAGTAGTGCAAGATCATAGACATCGCAGTTCCAGGGGACTGTAGAATTGGTATAAAAGAAAGAGAGAAGGTAGAAAAGTATGAGGAGTTGAAAAGGGAAATTTGGAAAATATGGGCAATGAAAAAAGTAGAAGTCATTCCAATAGTAGTAGGTGCCTTAGGAGCAGTTAGTAATGAACTGGATAAGTGGATTGAGAAATTGGGAATACATATAAGAATAGAACTTCTACAAAAAACAGCATTGTTAGGGACGGCAAGAATACTGAGAAGAAGCTTGGAAAGTTAAAATCTTTGGGACCTGAGGGTACTGGTTGTAGCCAGCTTCCAGGGAAAAAACATAGCTAGTATAAGAACAAGGCTGTGAAAAACATAGGCTTCGGTAGCGAAGGAATGGCGAGGAAGATCAAGGATAAGTCTCGCAGCGTTATGTTGTAGAAATTATAAATCTGTGGCTGCTTTAGTTGTATTTTTTATTTAGATGGTGTCAGATTTCCCCTGGTCATCTACAAATAAAATTTGCTGCTCTTCACATAGTCAAAACACAACTATTCTTGATCGCTTTAATAGTTAACACATTGTAAAATTTATCTTACATGTGAATTCGACTTTCGCTAACAAAAAGTACTGAGGAAGTTCTTTAACCACAGCAGTTGCTCGTTCGTCTCTATTTTAGGTCCATTTTTCTTCGTTTTGAATAGTTTGGAAGACTTTAAGACACTTTTTACGTGTGAAACTCGGCTCTCGTTGCAGCTTCGTAGGGCAATTAAAATTGCATATTTCCCGTGGGCAATACAGGAAATTAGTGCCTAGCAGTCAATGAAATTGCGCGATTCATCAAAACAAATGCTTGCCATATAATAATATAAGTTATTAATATTTGCAAGAATGTTTGTTATTTCCCAAATTTGACCAATCAGTGTTCGCTATTCACGACAGTCCGCTATATATTTTGAGATCAGTGAGGATGACCACCCATGAACGCTGAACCATAGCCATCGCCCGCGCTTATTGATGAATTTTACCCTTTTCTAGCGCATTTCTTTCGGATTGCCATGTGTAAATAACTGAGCGGAATTAGCACCCTTGTCTCGGGCTTATGCCCGAAACGGCGCACAGCGCCGTTGGCTTGGGGATAAACTAATTCGGCAATCCCAATTATTTTTTGTATTTTAGGTACATGTTTTGGCCAGATTGGGGAGAGAAACCCAGAATTGTCCGTGCCTCAATGGATGGCACAGGTCGAAGAAATGTCATTACCACTGATGTCAAATGGCCAAATGATTTAGCAGTTGATTTCAGGGAGCCTAGGTTATTTTGGCTTGATGCTCATAAGGACTATAGTCGTCTTGAAAGCTCAAATCTTGATGGCAAAAATCGAAAGAAATTAATCAGCAGTTCTTTGCCACACCCTTTTTCAATTACTATATATGGTGATCGAGTCTTTTGGACGGACTGGGAGAGATTGTCTATTGAATCATGCAACAAGAAGACTGGGTATGAAAAATGGCTTGTGAAGGATAAAATAAAAGATGTAATGGATCTTCAAGCTTTTGAAGCTGAAAGGCAACCAGATGGTATGTATATTGTTGCACAAATAACGCAATTTGAATATAAAGTATGCGTTATCATTAAATTAAGCCACTTCCTAATTTCGGTCCCAGTAACAATCTCGTACACAGAGCTATCGTTGAGTGGCTTTGGTCACACCAATCTCGAACCCTGAGCCTGCAATTCTGTGTGGAGGCTTACCGAGGCTTTTGGGAGAAATCTTATGGAGTTCGATTGGTTGTTTTACAATTGCCCACGGTTGGAACGAGTTCTGCCTGCTCTCTCAGGCAAAATGTTTCTTTTACACTTATTCCTTGCTAATTATTATTCAAACTGTGAGTTTATTTAGTGCTTCAGTCATAGTTTAATTAATATAAAGTTTATTTCTGTTTGTGTATTATGTATTTTACATATGAACAAAACACACAGTTAACTTCAATAAACTTATAAAGTTATTTCCTTCGCTTCTCATATGAAATCAATAGACTATTCTAATATTATGCCGATAACAAAACTACTGTAGAATAACAACGTACAGTGCATCATTGCATCAATGGTCATGATAATCAGTTGCTTGTAATGTTTATTAATATCAAAATCGACATTACTCTTAAGGCTAGAAACACAACAATCCATGATTTATCGTAATTAAACACGTTTAATAGATCACTACCAGTATCTTATAACAATTCAAAACCCTCGTAACTGTTCTTTGAAGAATTATAAAAGTCGTAATAAGTTTAATTAAACAATGGCATGATTCATATTTGACGGCAGCAATGTCTATTTTTAAATGTCGAGCGGAGTACTGGATGCAAATGTACTTATTTTCGTGCAATTTTCGCTGGTGTTTGCCATGACGAGCCAGACAGCTCCTTTCCCAGAGCTTCAGCAAGCCTCCACAGAGGATTGCAGGCTCAGAGTTCTAGATTGTGACCACACGAGTTGAGTTAATTATAGAAAATACGGTATTCAACTCGTGTGGCCAGAGCACTCCACGATGACTCTGGGTACGATTGTCCCAGTAAAGGTTTGGGGACTGGAATGTGCCAACACAAAGTTCAGAAAAAAATCATTGTAGTAAAATTTGGATTGTGGAAAAACATGTTATTAAATAGTATTTATTTGAAAAATACCTTGATCTATAAATTCAGCCTGAAAATTTGTTAAGAAGGTACAAGACATTATGCTTTAGGATTAATTACACAAACTATACAATTCAAAAGTTCTTTTCATCGCCATACTTCCTCTTTTCCCTCACTTCCCTGAATGGTAGTTGATGGTTTGTACAAATTATGAAGCTTCTACAAGTAAAACTTCAACGTTTCGTCGGGAACCTCGCAAGCCAGGCTCTCTACTTTCGCTTCTTTCCCAAACACGCTCCAGCAAAGACCTTGGTACAGGCTGGTCATGTGATCAATTGCATAACACCCCAAAATCTGGGGTGTCTTGAATTAGCGCTCTGTATGCTACTTGGGTAGGAGTGACTGAGTAATAATAACAAGGCTGACTGTAAAAAGTGGAAACACCATCTAAGATGGTGGACATTGTTTTTTTGATCTCGCAAATTTGACAAATATTTTTACTGATTTTCTTCTATTCTGTCTTAAATTATTAAAAATTTTATCGTTTTATCTTTGTCAAAATAATCGTTTTTATGACTACGTCTATGACTGCTATGATAAATTGATATTTGAAAGCTCTGACACGTCCTTTATAGTAGCCAGAGATTTTAATCCTACAAGTAATGGTTTCCAGATAAAATCCATCTCAAACATGTGCCATCTTAAGCAAGTTTTCAAAAACCCAACCAGAGGTACGAATATGTTAGACCTTATTTTTACTAACTGTGGTGATTTTTGCAAGCCGCCGAAAATCTTCGCTCCAATCGCCAGCTCGGATCATGCGACCATTGTTTGGAAATCCACTCTCCAGGAACCAAAAAAAAAATGCGACGAAAAAAATGAGGTTCAGACCACTAAGACCCGCTGCTGTACATGCCTTTCGTGAATTTGTGACTAATTGCGACTGGTCTTTCATATTACCCACGAACGATGTTAATGATAAAGTTAACGCGTTTTTAGAATTTACGCAAGTTTCAATTGACTCCTTTTTTCCAATTAAAACATTTAAATTACACGAAGATGATAAACCATTTATAACTGGAAGATTAAAAAAGCTAATGGCAAAGCGTAACAAAGCTCATAGGTCTGGTAACTTTGAGCTCTTTAAACGTCTTAGAAATAAAATTGTTGCGGAGGTTCGATCTGCAAAAAAGAACTTTTACCACAATCATGTTCGTCCCACCTTTTGTAAAAATCCTCATTTTTGGTGGAAGAATGTAAATAAAATTTTTGGGGAAAAGAAACAGTCTATTACACTGTTTGATCCGCAAACGGAACATCCTATGGACGAGAAACAAGCTGCGGAACATACAGTATAAATGAATTTTTCGCAAGCCTAACTGAGGATTTTATCGAAGTGCAGGATAAGTGGTTAGACGGCGGTTCCTCCGAACCTTTGTCAGTTATTAGTGAAGAAAGTGTAGAAATTAAGTTAAAAGGAAAGAATGTTAGGAAGGCAAGCGGGCCGTACGATCCCAATATTAAAGTGCTGAAGATGTTTGCCAAGAATTTTGCTATTCCGTTAGCAAACATTTTCAATGAATCGTTCAGGTCACGAATATTCCCAAAAATATGGAAACGTTATAACGTTTGCGCAATTGCAAAGGTTGCACCATGCTCCGCTGTAGAGGACTTGAGACCAATTTCGCTTACCAGCGTCTTGTCTAAGATACAGGAGTCATAAGCTACAGAATGGATCAATCAGGATGTAGGGGCGAATGTCAATGAATCCCAATATGGCGGGTTACTGGGATCATCTGCTGTGTTGACCCTAGTTAACCTTATGCATAAATGGTATTTGGGCATGGAAACGCCTGACAGGGTAATACGGATTATATTTCTTAATTTTAGAAAAGCTAATGACTTGGTAGATCACAATAAGCTATTGGAAAGTTGTGAGAAAATTGAGGTCAGGCCAGCTCTTATTTCTTGGCTAGGATCGTACCTCAAAGATAGGTCACAAGTCACTAAATTCCGCAATGAATTCTCGCAGGAGGCTCGAGTCAAAGGAGGAGTTCCCCAAGAAAGTAAAATTGGACCCATTGCATTTATTATCCACATCAATGATCTTCCACTCATAATCTCCCCAGTTAACGCAGAGGATGAAGATATTTCATTGTTCATGGGCGATACAACTCTATCGGAAGTCATTGACATCACCCAACACGTGTCCAACTGCCCGATCGGGAACTCTCAACGAAACGTGGATAACATATTGCAATTTACGAGAAATCAAAATATGGAACTCAATAGTAAAAAATGTAAAGAGATACTGGTAGACTTCAGGAAAGTTAAAACTATAATCCCGTCTATTGCTATTGGCGGGGATATCTTCACAACAGTAAAATCATTTAAGTTGCTGGGTGTTTGGATAGACGACGATTTAAAATGGAATACTAATACAACCTATATTGAAAGAAAGCAGTCAAACGAGTATATCTCTTAAAGGTGCTTAAAAGCTATAATGCTCCCATGGAAGATCTGAAAACCTTCTAAACAGGTGTAATAGGGTTGGTTCTAGAATATGGAGCCAGGGCCGTAGCTAAGCATGCATGGGGTAGGCCAAAAATTTCCGAATGACGAAAAAAATTTCCGAATATTTCATGGCATACGAAGCCACGAAGGTGTTTGCTATCCAAAAAATGAAAACGCAATTTACAAACAAAAATACTCATATTTTACGCACAGACATATTACAGAAGCGTGCAGTTCCGTAGGAAGTTCTTTTTGATAAAGGGGTGACGAGGGCCGAGGGCCCGAGGAAATTTTTAAATTTAGAGTCTCTGAAATGCCATTTCGTGGACTTTGGCGGGAAGTTTTGACAGAATTCTGATGGTCAGAAAACAGAGTTTTAGCACGTCGAAATTTACAGTTAATTTGCTTACAATTTAGAAGAACTAAATGGGCAAAGGCGTATATGGGTAATATGATTCTTTGCGGTTTGTCATGGGTAATGTAGCCGCTTAAAATTAATCAATTGTCAGTATTTTAAAGATATATTGAGGGCTGGAAGTAATAAACCGAAAAAACATTTACCGATCTACGATTTGTTAAATGTTATCCATGTAAATGCCGTGATTTTGTAAATCAGTTTATGATACTGACAATACAATTTTATAATATTTCTCTGTTTAAACAACTAAAATTTTGTTATACTATTACTGCCGTAATTTTCCGAATGACCAATCTGATTTTCCGAATATGTTAATTCTAAAAGAGTTGGGGGGTTAACCCCCCCCCATACCCCCTTCGCTACGGCCCTGTATGGAGCTCAAATCTGGAATGGCAATCTCACAGTTGAACAGAGTAATGACATTGAGAGATTACAATTTAAAGCGGGCGCTAAGAATAATTCTCCCAATCAGTCCAATTTGAAAACCCTAAAGGAACGTATAGAGATGTTATGTGCGTTGACATGATTAAGAAAATGTCAACCCCCGGCCATAAACTTCACCATATTCTCCCTATGAAGGTTTTTCAATTAAGAGAGAGGGAAACGAGGACAAATAGCTTAGAATATTATAATTATACGTGCAGAACTAAACGATTTAGTCAGAGTCCTATCATTTATGCAATAAATAAGTACAATTTAACTCTTCATAACTCTTAGCTTGGCTAACTCGATCTTAGTTTCGAATCTTACCAATCTTACATGGGTTTTTTTATAGTATAAGATAATATAATAAATAGTTCTTATTTCATTCTTAATCAATTTTTAAAAACAGTAAAAACTTATTTGTAGCACATTGTAATTTAGCTTAGCTATTTAATGTGTAAATTTCTATTATATTATATTATATTACATAAATACATCATCGTTCACTGTTAAGGGAAGAGCCAAAGATACTCCAGAACAAACTAAAGGCAATTGATCAGACGATTGCCGTATGCGAACCGATTCA